TCGCCCCAACACCACGCTTTAATCCACCTAGGGGACACGGAGGGGTTCGACCAGCCTGGTGAGGAAGACACCTTATACATCCTGCACTTGAAAGACAACGTGTATAGGAGGGTGTCGTTATCAGATTTTAAAGAGCCTGAATGGATAGTCAACTTAACCCTCACCTCACCTTATATCACATTAAAGGAACACAGTTATATCTCTGAAATTAAAACAGCGGTATCTTACCCGCGTGTTTCGCTCCTGGCCCTAATACAAGGATGATACTAAGGTCGAAGTTTACCCAATATGTTACAGTCATTCGAGGGGGTGAGTTAAGGTATGACTGCTACGGGCACATAGGGATTCCATCTATGGTACCAGGCTCCACACTTATCATAGACGTCCATATCGACAGAGTTAATAGTAATAAGGAATTACAACAACTTTTACCTGGGGTCAGAGTACTCTGGTATCCCCGAACCTATCGTGAAACGATACCAGATCATCATACAACTGGACCCCTCAAGGGGTTCTATAACCCACTCAATAAACCCTGACGAGGGGCTGTTGTGGCTACAGAGTTACCTATTAAATTCTCACCTATTTTCCTACATGAGGATTTATTCCTTATAAGCCTCAAGTACGTTGATCAACTGTTAACTGAAGCCCAATTAAAAAATATCTCATAAGATATATTATAGGCACACAGGATGGGGCTGTACCCAGTCGTAGAGGAAGTAGCGAAGACCCTGGAAACCGTAGACGGGTTCCGCTTGAGGCAGTTATGCGATGTAAAACGCCAACTAGAACAAGACCGCGACAAGCCGGAAAGCACTATATAAGAAGTACCATAGAGCTTTCAATGCCGTGGACGGACTGATACTACCCTTATGGTAGCCAGCATGGGCCTAGGGGTGGCAGGTGTTGGGTTGTTAGCTACCATCGTGGCCGCACCTATAGTGATGGGGCTCAAATAACAGCTGGGGTGACAGGGTGTTGGGGGTGGTGCTTAAGCTTGTATCCCGCAGACTGCATCGTAAAGCATTGAAGCATAATGAGATCGGGTTCTAGCTGAAGCAAAGCTTAACACTATAAGCGATCTTATTTCCACCGCGACTCACTGACAGTAAGATCTCAGAGGAGGAGTTTCGTTTAGTCCTCTCTGAACTCGCAAAATATCATAGAATGAAACAAGAGATTCGATCCAAGTCTCGTAAGTCTGCTATAAGCGAGGGACGAAAAAAAAAGTACATAGAACAAGGGGTGAAAAAGCCCAGCAAGCCTTTATTACTTAACACCAAAGAGATCATAGGCGATTCACATTAAACTGTTTCATGGAGGTAAACATGGTATAGTGTCATAGCGGCACGTTAGACGCAGCCCAGTATTGGATGATGCAATCCCAGGATACCAACATACTTTCAGCAATGTCCCCGGTAGCTCAGTCGGTTAAGTGGTGCGGCTAAGAGGTGCGTTCGCATCCCGCTAGCGTCCCAAACTTTTTTATAGTAGGGGTAATGGTAGCAAGAGCTAAGGGTCCGACCAAAGCCTTATTTGGGGAATAAGGCTTTGCAGAGGCTTTTGTTGGACTTGGTCCCGTACAATCATTCCCTCTACTACTGAGACTGTTCGAGGACGTCACTCCTCTAGCATATAGTACCTTCATGGAGACTGTTCGAGGACGTCTCTCCTCTAGCATATAGTACCTTCATGGAGACTGTTCGAGGACGTCTCTCCTCTAGCATATAGTACCTTCATGGAGACTGTTCGAGGACGTCTCTCCTCTAGCATATAGTACCTTCATGGAGACTGTTCGAGGACGTCTCTCCTCTAGCATATAGTACCTTCATGGAGACTGTTCGAGGACGTCTCTCCTCTAGCATATAGTACCTTCATGGAGACTGTTCGAGCAATATTGCAGAGACAGGGACTTGCAGCAGACATCACCGGTCACTCGTTCCGACGCCGATGGTGCGACCTGGGCGTTCAACATCGGCATACCTGGAGAGCTGATTCAGGACATTGGGTTCTGGAAGAGCTCAGCATATTTGCGTTACCTTGAGTTCAGTTCTCAGCGCAAATTCAATGCTTTACTGACTTTTGGTACATGTCTACCTGCGAATTAATTAACTTTGAAATCTTTCTATTGAAATTTTGCCTATTTATAACTATCCCCCTTTCACAAATCATTATCTCCTTCATGCCTATTGTATTTGTAACTTTCTTACTTTGGGGTGTGGGGTATCACTTAAGTGTCCGTAAACTTATCTGCCTCGCAGGGTTTCTATATTCACGACACTTAATTGTGTATGCCATTCTTCATTGTATTAAAGTTCCAAAGTTTCTCTTTATATCATCGCATTTGTCGTTTATAGTTCGAGTAAAGGTGAGTATGTTAAAGTCATATTTTACAAAGTAAAATAGATTTTGATTACGGTATGGTACGAGTAACGTCCCTTGCTTCTACAACAGTATCGCTGCAGTTATCTCCCTTTCATTAACGTCAGCACCCACACGGCGTCAGGCTTTCAACACCCAACCCACCCTCCCAGTAGTAATTATTGGTTTGAGGAACTATTTGGGGGTATCACTTAAGTGTCCGTAATCTTATCTGCCTCGCAGGGTTTCTATATTCACGACACTTAATTGTGTATGCCATGCTTCATTGTATTAAAGTTCCAAAGTTTCTCTTTATATCATCGCATTTGTCGTTTAAAGTTCGAGTAAAGGTGAGTATGTTAAAATTCAACTGAAAGAATGTTAGCTCATCCAGTGTTTCCAGTGAGTTTTTCCAATCAGCAGATTTGGTTGTCATGGAAACAGGTGTGGTATGTGCGGGAAAGCAATCAATCTTTTTCCAAATCACATCTAATGTCATTATGATGAATAATCTAACATTATAGAAGTTTTGTTATTAAAACTGCATAAAGTTAAAGGGTATCATATCTGTAGTGTTATCCTCATGTTAATGTTACAGCTTTGTGCCATAAATGAAGGCAGAAATGACCGCGGACAGTTTAAAGAAAACGATTCATTATTTCGACGCATTGTTGTACCGCGCTGTGTTACCTTTACCGATATTGATGTATATTTTTAGATAGTGGATCACGTGCGAGTCACGTGACCGTAACTTCCGGTTAGAATGTCGTCTGCTTGTTTACATTCACGGCGGTAAACAAGATGCCTCCAAAACGAAAAGAATTGGACATTGGCGTAAAAGAATCAATAGTAAAATTGTATGAGCACGGGAAGAAACCTGCAAATATTGCAGAATTACTTGATTTATCGTCATCAACTGTCTATCATGTGATTCATCGGTATAAATCGCGTGGTTCTGTGGAAAACAAGCCAAGAACGGGAAGGAAGAAACTTTTGACTCAGAGTGACTCTCGCAAAACTTTTCGGATTTTAAAAAATTCTCGTCGGCGATCTTTGAAGGATATTACCAACATATTTAATGAGGACAACAACAAGCATGTGTCATACAGAACTGTTCAAAGAAAATTGTTTCTGAAGGATTTTATAGACGTGTAATTCGAAAGAAAATCAGAATCAGGAAAGTGAACATTAAAAATAGATTAGCATGGTGCAGGGGAAAATTACATCGATCTGTGGACACATATTGGAACAAAGTCATATTTAGTGATGAGTGCAAAATGATCATTGATGGAAAGGAAAAAAGTATTCATTTGGAGAAAAGTTGGTGAACAGTGGGCCCCCCAGTGTTTGGGTGTTCCCCAAACCCCTACCCTATCTTTGATGATTTGGGGTTGCATTACATACCATGGTGTGGGAACTGTAGCCGTTGTAGAAGGTAACACAAATGCTGAGAAATATGTTGAAATTATAGATAACAATATTTGGCCAGTTATTGCTCGTCATTTTCCTGATGACCAATACATATTTCAAGATGATAATGCCCCAGTCCATCGGGCTAGAACTGTTCAAGTTTACAAGACAGAAAATAATTTAAAAGGCATGTCATGGCCAGCCCAGAGTCCGGACTTGAACATAATTGAAAATGTGTGGCATAGGCTTAAGAGAGAATTGCAGTGTCGCACCTATCGCATACATTCAAAAGAGGACCTTGCAGCAGCAATTAATGAGGTGTGGACGTCTTTGCCGCTTGCATACATAAGAAACTTGTATTTAAGCATTCGAAAGAGGATACGTCAAGTTCTTGTGTCTAAGGGGTATATCACAAAATATTAGGTAGGTACATTCAAGTTTCTTTGAAATAGTGCAATTAAAATTGAGTTGTCAAATTGCGACAAGCACGCCGCCATCTCGTTTTTGCCTTCATTTAGTAGGTTAATGAGAACTTGATTCATGGGCTTGAACACTTGCAAGATGATTCGGGACAACATAACCATGGTTACTCTCAAGTGCATGTCTGCCCTGTGTATAGTGGGCAAGAAGAGACAAGACATAACCTCAGTAGTAATGTTTTTGTATATCCTGCCTGCAAGACCCTAAAGAATGAATATAAAAATGGTCTTACTCTTAGTCTAGGCTAAGATTTGTCAAGTCTAGATTACCTTTGCTCTTAGATTTTAAGAATTGTTCTGGGCTCCATTTGTATTATCAGTGATTATATTCATTTTTGCTGTATATATATTCAGATCATTTCACTTCTGGGATCCAATGTCAGTCTTGTGTTATAGAGCTGCTATAAACATGATAAAGCATTTGATCCGAAACAAATATGCATTATCGTGATGGCGGAGATATCGCCTCCCCACCAATCCGACATGACGCATCCAATATTTGCATAAATTCGTCAGTGTTTGCAACTACTAGTCGTGAGTGTAACGTAAACAATCATGTGACTGGTATACTCAAAATATGTAGCAGAATCAGGGATACAGCCATTGACATTGCAATGTCAAACTTGTTACAGCAGAGTCGATTTAGACAAAATGCGTCAGCAGAACACTATGTACATGCAAGACAATATTTACTATATTGTTTGTCGTAAAATGAATGCTACCCACAAAGATTGTTTCATGGAAACTTACCCGCGCGGCATGCTGGACGGCTAATCTTTCAGCCGTAAGGCCACTTCGAAATAAGGCAGACGCCATCTTTGAGTCAAACTTCCGTTGTGGATGTTAGAGTTAGCTCCCTTGCACCACAATTCGCACAGCCCTGACCCCACTTTGACAGCTGTAACTGTTATGATACATTTCACGAGAATGGCCACGGGTGGAGCAAAACATACATTGGTACCACCAATCAAATGGTGGCAAAATAGATTTGGGATTTGTTTTGTGAATTTGTCCTTGGGTTTCACCCCCCAAACCCTACCGTACGTGTTACACCAGTAGATGTACATATATATATACATGTGGTATAATACATCGTATTCGGACGACTGTAGCAAGGCAGGTCGCGCCTCACAAACTAGTAAATACTCGGATGACTTGTGTTTAAGATGAAGTTGTCTTAAATAAGTTAGTGTCATGTTGTACAATTGCTCTTGCACTAATGGAGAAAGCACAGTTTGATGGATTTGATTTAAAAGTGTTTAGAATGCATTTAACTTAATTTTCATTTCTTCCTCTCACACTTGAGGATTGCGTTTGAAGCATTGTTCGAAAAGCTATTGTGTTTCTTACAAAAATCCTTACAAGTGACTACAAATGATGTACTAGTATTCATGCTAGCAAGAAATGTTCCAAGTAGAGAGTTCCACACCCAGACACTGTCGAGGGGGTACGCCACTACTCAAACATATATATAGTGGACAATCTGAAAAGACGGGAACGTCACATTTTGGCACCTGACTGAGTAATTTCTCAGTTTATATATTCTATTGTTTACGGTAATATCTTTGTAGAAAGGGATTAAGGAGCATTGTTGACTGGTGAGAATAAACCTGTAAAACAGACATTATTATAAGGTTATGTATAAAAAAACACGTTTTCCCTTTTTGTCAGTCGTTTATATATTTGTTTAGTTTTGTTTATGTATACATCGTAACAGAAATACCGTCGCCCTTGTGCGTGCGCGCGTGTGTGTAAGTTTGTGTGTTAACGTAAACTGTCACCCTTTGTGTTTTAATTCATCAACTGTTGTACCTTACAATATAGACTGTTGTACCTTACAATATAGACTGTTGTACCTTACAATATAGACTGTTGTACCTTACAATATAGACTGAACCTGCTGATGAATGTAAAATAAAGATAAAGTAATCAACCAGATGTACCTTAAACCTAAATATAACGAATAAAATAAACGTATTTGATCACCTGATATATGATATCTTATAACATGTTAGATAACATAACACCTAATACCACATAGTGAAACTTCCAGCACACCTAACACAATATCTTACTACTACACATATATAGAGGTATATCTAATGAGATACAATGCTGATAGTTAGATACTAACATAGCCAGAGATGTAGAAATGGTACTTATGTCCGTGACTTAAGTCACTTACCTGCTTTCTGCACACTGAGGGTAAAGTCCCGCGTACTTTGGACTTTGCCCCCTGCTCAGCTTATGAGGTGTACATGAGTCAACATCAAACCCATCTGTTCTATTTTAATCGACATATCCTTTAGAACACGCACACAATTATTACGAATCAGTAACCGCTGTCGACAACCACGAAAAGTACAATGTTGGTACGTTAAAAAAATTGACCCAAAGCATTTACTATGATAAATAATTACAATACTGTTGATAGGCCATACCTAAGCGTCTACCACTGAACTATAGTGTTGATAGGCCATACCTAAGCGTCTACCACTGAACTATAGTGTTGATAGGCCATACCTAAGCGTCTACCACTGAACTACATGTATAGTAATGATATGCTGTACCTAAGCGTCTACCACTGAACTATAGTGTTGATATGCCATAGCTAAGCGTCTACCACTGAACTAAAGTGTTGATATGCCATAGCTAAGCGTCTACCACTGAACTATAGTCTTGATATGCTATACCTAAGCGTCTACCACTGAACTACATGTATAGTAATGATATGCTGTACCTAAGCGTCTACCACTGAACTATAGTGTTGATAGGCCATAGCTAAGCGTCTACCACTGAACTAAAGTGTTGATATGCCACAGCTAAGCGTCTGCCACTGAACTATAGTCTTGATATGCTATACCTAAGCGTCTACCACTGAACTATAGTGTTGATATGCTATACCTAAGCGTCTACCACTGAACTATAGTGTCGATATGCTATACCTAAGCGTCTACCACTGAACTATAGTGTTGATATGCTATACCTAAGCGTCTACCACTGAACTATAGTGTTGATATGCCATACCTAAGCGTCTACCACTGAACTATAGTGTTGATAGGCCATACCTAAGCGTCTACCACTAAACTATAGTGTTGATAGGCCATAGCTAAGCGTCTACCACTGAACTATAGTGTTGATATGCTATACTTAAGCAAAACAAAGTATGTTATGCAATTGCAAAATTGAAAGAATTATTCTCACGCTTGGTAAATGTTGTATATGTACCAACAACTCATTCCTGCAACAGTTAGTGAACGTTAATCTGTGTCTTTTTTGGGGTGTAAATACAATTTGGTTTAATGAAAACTGGGTTAAGAAATATATTTGCATCCACCCTACCCCTACCGCGTTTGAAATGAAAACGTGTGCCGAAACAGACAAATTGATCGATTTTCTCAGGTAACATATCTAAGACACCAATCAGCAGCTGTGCATAATGTAATTGTTTTTAGATTCTAAATGTCATAAATCAAATTGTATTGTAAAGATAAAACCAAGGAGAAATATTCACTGACCAAGCGGCAGTAACTGTATTGGGACAAGCGTTGGTTCTGACATGGAACAACATTCCCCAAGCTTTCTTCAATCGCTTAGTGACGTCTATGCGTCGTTGTTGTCAAGAAAGCATCAACCCCAATGGGGAAGACACACGATATTGAATTTGAGAACTGACCTTTGACAATACATCTCTTTAAGGACGTGTCAAGATGCCTAGTGTCAGATCATACAGATTTCGATATTATCCTGTCAACAGTTAAACAGTGATAAAGGAAAACACCACAAATCATGTTATTATCTTTTTGCATTAAAACGTCATAACATCAAATAATGCAAGTTACTTTATTCCAGTAGTATATACACATGTACTAGGAAGCTCGAGGGAACATTCACGTGATTGTTAAGTCTTGAACTGACAAACCAGTGACTACTGTGATAGGCAACGTCCCGTGTGACTGAGGCATGCTGACAGGCAGTCCACCTAATCCACCTAGTTTCCTCCAACAACAAGCAGGAGTGGCCATTATGTAACCACGAATCCCCATTGGTCCAATACTATACCGTTGACAAAGTAGGGGATATTCAATATAAATGTATCACAACTATTATTTCTTTAATGAGATAAATATATAGTTCAACAGAGTAACACGGACATCGGACTGAAATTTGCATCAGTCGTTGAAAGTCAGTTTTGTAAGATGATTGGCCAAAAGCGCCCCACTGTTCATTGCGTCGTTTGCCAGGAACGGTACCAATGTCATTAATATGGCGTGAATCCGCCTAGAGCTATTCTCCAGACAATCCCTCATTCAACGAGGCATACTTCTAATCAGATTTCCAGTATCCGCTCTGTTCATTCCATCCCATTTTGTTCTGCAGGGCAGTCGAGAGTGATCGGTGGTTGCTGACGGTGACGTCCAAGGTCATCCCAGACATGTTCAGTGGGTGACAAGCCTGGACTGAGTGCTGGCCATGGTAACGTGCTTATGTTTCCTGTTGGAGGTACTCAGTAAAAGTACGAGCCCTGTGTGCTCTTGCGTTGTTATGAAATATAAAAAGATGCCCACGTCAGAGTGCAGATGGAAGTTGTCTCGGTAGAACTGCCCAGTGACACGCTCGGGAATGACATGGAAAGGTGTTCTGCCTGGCAGTGATCCCACCCACACCATTACTGAGCCATCCCCAAAACGATCGCTCTGTCTAACGTTAATGGCGTAGAAACACCAATTGCATCTACGTCAGCCTCTGTTGTGCCTGTCTAGAAACTCCAACTGAACCTTGATTCATCCAGAGACCATATACCGATATCGGTATATGGTCTCTGATTCATCCCAAAACATAACATTTGCCCATCAACGGTTCGTCCAGCGAGGCCTCTCCTGACATCAACACCTTCCATGTAACGGTCCGTCAATCGTGAGACATGTGGACATTACGTCCGTCAGTCCACTCATCTGTAGATACTGAACATTTGAATTCATCATTTATGCATGGTACTGAACGGGGTGTCCATGAAAAATAAGCTGGACTAATGTTCCAGGTCTGTCTGTGTGTTACGTAGCTGCTGCTATATGATGACTAGGATGGTGTGCTTTGTGCGCATGTTGAGCTGACGAGCCATTACAATACGTTATGGGATGGATCGGTATCTATTGCTAGAGTTTCAAATACTCCAGTCATGAGAGTATGTATTTGGGATTTACCCTGGGTATGCGCTGACGAGCCATTAGAATACGTGATTAGGAATTGATGCCTGTTTATATATGATGGATATGGGAATCAGTTCACATATCAATGGGGGCGGTGGGGTAGCCTAGTGGTTAAAGCGTTGGCTCGTCACGCCGAAGACCCGGGTTCAAAATCCGCACATGGGTACAATGTGTGAAGTCCATTTCTGGTGTCCCCCGCCGTGATGTTGCTGGAATATTGCTAAAAGCGGCGTAAAACCAAACTCAGTCAGTCACATATCAATAGAGATGTGTCGATAATGATTTTGGAGAGGTTGGTGTGGATATGAAACAATGAATAAACTGCGGTCAGTCAGCGCATCGTAAGTATCCCGCTATGTTATGATTGGATTAGTTTGTTGTGTTCAGGGGAAAGAGGAGACGATCATCTCCAGTCTGAGAGGCACATTGACCATGGTTTCGTTACACACTTGTTCTGATGAAACGGTCTTGTGGGCCAGTTGTCGCCCTTGGTCGCCCAGATCGGAGTCTGTCCGCGACGTTTTCTGTCGATATCGTGATTGTTATGTGTTAATGTCTGCCTGTCCAACGTCAAGAACGTTAAGAGCTCGAGCCACATTTCCAATTCGTTCGTGACGTGACAGAAGGAGAAGGTGAAAAATCCGTTCAGCTGAGTTTGAAACAATATCGAACAACTCTCAAAACAACTCTCA